GGGAGCAGCTGGGGCCTATATTGTCTTATGCTTGAGTAGGGAGCAGCTGGGGCCTATATTGTCTTATGTCTGAGTGGGGAGCAGCTGGGGCCTATATTGTCTTATGCCTGAGTGGGGAGCAGCTGGGGCCTGTATTGCCTTAAGCCCCCCGTCTAAGTCTATGCCCTGACGGCAGGCGGGCGGTAAGGGCGGGGGCGCGACGCAGGCGGCGGAGGAGGAGCTGCCGTCCAGCGAGGCGGGGGCGACGGTGCAGGAGCAGCTCATGGCCAAGGCCCTCGCACGCGCCGCCAGGACCATCACCCAACTCGAGCAGGTGTGTCCTGCTGCCAGAGGTGGGCAGTAGTGAGCTACATGTAGCGGTAGCGCCCGCTACATTTAAGCAATTGTAGCGGTAGCGCCCGCTACATTTAGAGTATGTAGCGGTAGCGGCCGCTACATTTAGAGCATGTAGCGGTAGCGGTGGCGCCCGCTACATTTAGGGCATGTAGCGGTAGCGGCCGCTATATTTTGAGCATGTAGCGGTAGCGGTAGCGGCCGCTGCATTTCAAAGTAGCGCTGCCCAGCTCTGCTTGCTGCATATTTAATGACTGCTAACTTCATGTAGTTTTCATTATATTTTTATTTCTTTGTAGTCTTACAGTTTTTATTTATGTGAAGCCAAATAATTTTATTAAATAATAAGTTTATTTTCAGCGATATCAGTTAATTATAATATTAACGATTTGCACAATTGAATGGTGCTGCTGTTTGTTGTAGTTTCGACCTGTGCCTTTACTTTCAAAACTCGCTAAGTGAACGTAAGTACTTACGCTCTATTTTTTTGTCTATGATTGGTGGATTTTGCTTGAAAGGTCGTCAATGATTGGCTGATGAACTTACGATCTCCTAACTTTTTTTGAAAGTATAGGCCCCTAGGCCTGTACTTTCAGTATAGGCCCCTAGGCCTATACTTATTGGCTGACGAACTTACGATCTCCTAACTTTTCTTGAAAGTATGGGCCCTGAACTTCTTGCTAAGTTGTGAACTTTGTGGTCAGCTTTGTCAGGAGAAGAAGCCTATCGTGGAGTGTCAGCTGCAGCTCCTGACGAGCGTGAGCGAACAGCTGACCGGCGTGCCTCTGCCTTACCCTCGCCTCTTCTACCAGTCACTCCAGCGCACCAACATCTGCCTCAACATCACGCCTCAGCCTCACAACTTCGGTGACTCCATCACACTCCAGGTGAGTCAACATCTGCCTCAACCTCACAACTTCCTTGACTCCATCACAATCCAGGTGAGTTAACATCTCCCTCAACATCACGCCTCAACCCCACAACTCCAGGGGAAGAATGGGGGCGAAACCAACACTTTTTTTCAACTTCCCTCCTGAACATTTCTGCCTCTGGTGATGTAATGTTAGGGGTTGCTTCTGGGGGCCTAGCAATTTTTAACCCTTTAGTTCGATACGTGGCAACAAAGCGTTGTTTTTCGCAAACGAGTTGCTCGAGAATGAGACAAGTTTTTTTCCTTGGTAAGTTTCTTAACTTAGTTCATACATCAGCATGTTATTACTGCCCACAACTGACTCTACTATGATGTTGTATAAATATTGTCTCTAATATGATGTTATATAAACTTTATAAATATTCATGTATGTTTGTGTTGCAGAATTCGTCGCAGTTGTCAGTGAAGGTGGAAGGCGTGATCAGTCACGGGCGGCAGGCGGGGCTCTTCAGATCCATCAAGACCGTACCTGTGGTACGCCTCAAGTGACCAACGATGGCGTAGAAGAAAAGTTCCCGCGTCGAACGCATTGGAATCTATTGCTGAGATAAGACTCGAACCACAGCAGCACTGTGCCGTGCAGGCCGTATGATACGTTAAGTCAACGCAATAAAGTGGCGTGACCGACCGTGTCAACCGCGGCCGACAGATTGAGTGAAGCTAGTGCCGCAATGTCGCCGCGGTCTACTGCGCGCAGAATGTCTGAAAGCGCCTTCAGCGCCGCGGTTTCCATCGAGTGGAGATGATGGTATGCAGACTGCAGGCGAGGATTCATGCCCAATTCATCCAGTCTTGAGTTCCCATTCATGCCCCAGCACTCAGGAGAGTGGCTGGCTTGGGTGGTATGACTTGCCATTCATGCCCCGGCAGGTGAGTGTATGACATCGTTCTCAGGTAAATGTATGACATCGTTCTCAGGTAAATGTATGGCCTCCTTCTCAAGTGAATGTATGTCCTTGCCCTCAGGTGACGGTGGACGCGTCTGTGACAGACGAGGACGACGAGACGTGGCAGACGGGGCCTCGTCAGACGCTGCTAGTGAAGGCCCTCGAAGACCCGACTAACGCCAAGTCACAGGCCCTCGGGGCCCCTTGCACCTCCACGGCCCCGGCACCTGCCAGAGGCCCCGTTGTGGGCCCCCCTCAGCAGCAACTCACCGCCCTCCATCAGGTGGTCTGGCGATCGTTGCCATCGCGACAGAGAATGCGGCGCTGATGGCATCCTTGTTACTTGCAGTCAATTCAATGAACTGTTTTTCTGGCTAGCAACGAACACTCTAAATAGTTTCCTTTATAGTTACTAAATATGTCCTCTAAATGTTCCTCAGCTGTTTTCTGGCTAGCAACGAACACTCTAAATAGTTGCCTTTATAGTCACTAAATATGTCCTCTAAATGTTACTCAGCTGTCTTGTTTAGTTCACTTCTTTGATTATCTTATCAATGTAACATGCACATTTTGCATGCATTATTGCTTGTAATTATAATGAATTATTAAGATGTATTGATATTATTAGCCATCAGATACAAGTAATATGTGAAAAAATTCTTCATCACTAACAATTTCATGTCCCGCAGATGCCGCCGTCCCTGCCACAGCTTTCCTCGCCTTCAGGCTCGTCTCTCCTGCCCCCCGCCATGCCGCCCCCCAACCTCCCCTACCAGACTACCCCCCCTCTGGGTATGGTCATTCAGCCCCAGCAAATGCCCATGCAGTACCACCAAGCCCCCCCGGGCACCATCATAAGCGCCTTCTCAAGACCTCCTCCTTAAGCGTGCGATGAGCTCGCCTGTCTCGACATCTCGTCAAGAAAATGCATGAGAGCCGAGTTACCAGGCTATTGTACTTCAGTATTGTAATGATAATGTGGTATTGTAAGCCTATTACCAGGCTATTGTGCTGCAGTATTGTACTGATAATGTGGTACTGTAAGCCTATTACCAGGCTATTGTGCTGTAGTATTGTAATGATAAGGTGGTACTGTAAGCCTGGCTATTGTACTGCATTATTGTAATGAGAATATATGAATTTAGTCTTTCTTTTTTTTATGATAGTGTTCACCCATTGGAAATCTGAATTTTATTTTCCTGTTTATTCATCATCTTACTTGAAACTCGTTTCAGATTTTATAAAATTTGATGCTTTTAATTAAAAGTGGTGCCCAATAACAGTCTTCTGGCAACCGTTGAGTTTTGAGAGTAAGTCTTATCTCCATGTCCTGCATAACAGAGAATTTTGCTGCTTATTTATGTATAAACTTCACTTGTAGTTCGCAACACGCGAATTCTCTTCAATAAATCACTTGAGAATTCTTTATTTTTAACTTGTACTTTTTTCTATTCTCAAGTATTCATGATTGAAGCAATGCTTTCCTGTCCTGTTTTCGGGAGCCATTCCTCGATTCCGGCTAATTAAAACTTTCCAGGAAATAAAATTTAATATTTGTTTGTTTAAAATTTTTTCTTGCTTTTTTGATGATTTTGGCTTCGACTGAAACGCATTCCGTTCTAAAGAAAAATAATAAAGATTTTGATTTTTTTTAAGTTGAAATTATATCGTTGAAGCTTTGCCGTGATGAGTTTTAAATGAACAAGGATGTCTAGAGGCGTCTTGGCGCTACACCTGAATCTGTGTGTGAGGTAGGTTCGCGTGTTTGCATCGAATTCTTACAAAGAATTGACCTCTCGGACACCAGTAGGAGGCAATTCACAGTGAACATGCAGAGTTTCTTTCAAATCAATTCAGTGGCTAAGATACTTCTGGCTTATGTGACTTCAAGCTCGCTCAGCCGTATTACTCTAGGATGAAGTCGAAATAATTGCCAAGACCCGAACCGTAACAGAATTGCTGCCGAATAAAACTACAAAGTTTCATTGAAATCTGTTGGGTACTAAATGAGATATTATCACCTTAGTGCAGGACATGCAATCGCCTGAAGACCGGTTCATGGATATTTCTCTGACCGCAAGAATTTTGCCTGAGTCAACGAAATCCTCACAACCTAAGCATCGTCAAAAAAAGCTCTTTCATGAATTCACATGCCAAATTTTGTTGAAATATGTTCGATAGTTTGGGAGATATTTAGGCTCACACAAAGTGGTCGCGAGACCTCCCGGTAAATGTACTTGACGTGTAGATCGACTGAAGAAACGGCCGAGTGGTATAGCTCTGGGGCTTATGTGTTGTTGGTTCGAATTGCGTTGATAAGATTTGCTTCGAGGATGTAGCATAAGAGGCCGTAGTTTCTACTAATACATGTGAGGCGTATTAAATTGGCATCCTTGCAGTGGTCGCATTTCATAACGTCAACAATTCTGTCTCACCTCATCGCGAGAACTGCTGTTATGATCGCCCCACTCATCAATATTAGGATTATTATAGATTGATTATGATCAATATATACGTCGACGTACGCACCGTTATAAATTTTCAAGTAGCTTCGTTTTCGTTAAAAAATTGTTTAGTGCCATTGCCACTATGAAACGCCACCTGACTAATAATATATGTTCTATCTGAGCCTGAGGACAGATTCGTTGAGCAAGTGCGTGAGGGATAAGTAAGACACTTCGCTCTGTGGAATTGATGTTGATACGGTGAGGTTATGCACGAGAGTCTTTATAGAAAAGGTAGATACAGGTACAGAAACATAGGTAGATGGCTACGATCGTCAGGTCAGAGTAGCTGTAACTAGTTATACATTGCTGCGGTCGAGCTAACTACTGGGGAGCTTTACTAAGGTACCGCGCCCTTCTATAGACTTCTACTTCCGCCCACTACTGCAGTCTTCATCACGTGATGTTGTTCTCCGAAGTGGTACAAATGCGTACAACGAAATGTATTTCTCCAGGACGTAGTGATACATAATTCAGGTTGCCAGAAACGGCCAAGTCAACGAAAAAAAAAGCCACAAAAGCTTATTACTATTTACTTAGTATGTACTAATTTATCTGTAGGTTCCGGTGTACAAATTCTATTTCTTTTTTGCAGTATTTAATTTAATTAGGAAGTACTCCTATCATAAATTTTAGCCGGCCAACTCAATTTAAGAAAATTAAATCGCGGAATTTGTCTGAAAAAATACCGTCTGGCAACCTTGTTTCATAATAGTACAAAAATGAAATAATAGTACAAGATGAAGCAATCGGAGCAAACACTTACCCGTTACCCCAATTCAATACCCAAACCAACCTCTAGGTGCAACTCGAACCTCATTGGCTGCAAGGAGGTGTAGAAGCGGGGGGATCCGGTTATTGGCTGCCGTAGGCGTAAGGCGGAGAGTCGGGGCAGGTGTGGAGGTAGATGCCCGCTGAGGTGTAGCCTCCGTGAAAACTTTACTCACTCAGGCAGTGGCTGCGGAAATTTGGGAAGAAACTCAAGGAATTGCCGAGCCTATTTGAAGACTCGCGGTTTTCAATCAGAGCCTTTAAGCCGTTGCAGAATTTATATGGTTTTTTATGTGTACTAGCATGGTTTTTGATTTTGTTATTGTGAGGCTAAGTGTAGGTGTAGGTACATGTTTAGACAAGGTGTTTGTTACATCATAAGTTTTAGAGTCAAATTTGTTCAATACGCTTCGGTCTACTGACTTCAAAGAGTTCCACGTTAGCACTAAACCTGACAGCTGTTAATAGTAAAGAATGTATGAAGTAGAACTGTACAATACTCAGGTGGAATTAAATTTAAATTTATTAATTATATTAATTTGCATTTCTGGCCGGTCTCAAGCCGAATTCAAGAAGAATCACTGTAGCAAGAATGTTCAGATTTCCCAAACCACTCTAACCGCTCGGTGTTCCCGCTTGATTGGAACTTTGCTTAGCAGCTTCCTGAAGGCATACCTGCAGNACCAAGGTCGAGCACTTTAGTCCACCTGTCTAATACGTCAAGAAGCTGCGTTGTGCAGGAACGCCCGTCCACAAATCCATGTTGCTTTTCGCTAATAAGAGAGTTGGCCTGAAGATGGAGCACCACGTGCTCACGCACAAGTTTTTCCATTACTCTGCACAGTACACACGTCAGGCTGACTGGCCTGTAATTGTTGGGCAGGAGTCTATGCTTGCGGCCAATCATGGATGACCAAGCCGGCTAAGACTTTTTCCTTCGACCGTGAAATAAAGCCTATTCAGTTCCTAGTAGTCATTCCCAACCATGGTCATTCCTTCCTTATTCTCCTGCAGCTGGAGTGTGGCGTCAGAAACGGAAATTTGCTATAATTGGTAATTTATTTAATCCTTCGTTAGAATTTCAAATTAAATTTTGTTATGTTTTGTACAAAGACAAAAGCGTTTCAAACAAGTTTTACACATCGGTTGTTTCTGTCAAATATTTATTTACATGTAAGATACATTATAGTACGAAGAAAACGTTTTAAATGCGGGGTCTCGGACAAATTTACGGCCGGACTCGCGGCCGGTCTTACGGCCAATCTCCAAATTCAGTGACCAATGAATATCTCCCAAACGAATGAACGCAGCTCCAGGAAGCTTGGTGCACGTATTCATTAGGACCTAACCGTGATGTTTAGCTCGTGAAATTTTTTCCCACCTTCATTCGTGAGTTACAGAGGAATTCGAGCCGAAATTTGCTGTGACCAAGAAATTAATCGAAGGGGCTTTCGATAATCTATGTACGTTTTCATTTCGTTCAAAAAAATGTTCTCTTGAATATTCTCTTGCTTACATACGGCTTCTTCTTATACGATCATTTGGCATGACTCATTTTTAATACATTAGATCAGTCATTGATGCAGAGTCACCGTTTTCTTTTACACGATATATTTTGGAAAATTTTCGTTCAAACAACAGCAAATCCTATTCTTATCGAACTATTTAGTGTGCGCCCGCATCGCGTTGTGGTTGGATGTGCGTTTGTGTGCTTGGGTATGAGTTACGACCATGTAAGGCAATTTACTTTCGACAGTGTACAATTTTATCGATCTTGTCTGATCTTTTAACGTATTTGTGTGGATGCTATCTTGGAGCACCACTATAAATCTTTTAAAAATGAAGAGAGGTTTTAACAGCTGTGTTTTTGTTGTATTGCTGGTGACTCTCAGCAGAAGCGGAGGATTAGCGAACAATGTATCATGTTCGCCCGTGAGAACGAACTATCATGGCACCGGGCTGCAGGATCAGATACCCAACAAACCCATATCCGGTAAGCTTACCTGTCGCGTTATCTATTTTGCTTCAATTAAAGTTTATCAGTATATTTATTATATAATATAATAAAAAAATTATTTGCAAAGATTAATAAATTTTGGCAAATAACACTCTAAAGTAGCTAGGCTACCTAGCCATTTTAGACGCTACTATCATGACTTGATGACCATGTCATTCCTGTTGTTACCAATGAAAAACAATGTGTAGTGAATCAACATTCCATTAAGACAGATGCCTGGCATTGTTGCCTTACTTTTGCAACATTTGTGGCATTTTTCATGGCGTTGGTAGTTGGTACTACCTAACTGGCATCATGGTGAGGGACTGAGGGCTATTTTTCATTTGTCAATATAGTATTAGGTATATTAGTCAAAATTTAATAATCTAAAAAACTAATGTTTGGTGAGTGATTTTGAAAGTCACAGGTAACACATGCAGTATTTCTTATTTTTCACCAAAGAAATTGGGAATGGGGAGAACTGAGAAGCCATAGAAATAGGGTATAAATAATAAATTGAGTAATTGACCATATTCAGATGCATTTTTTGTCAGTTTTTTATTTTTTCATTTGGGGCTACAGAGCTAATTTAAGAGGTAAATTTATAACCAGTGGCTGTGCACCCTGGTGGGAGGTGGCTGGCAACACATGTGCCAAACTGCAGACTGGTTTTTGCAGAGCACCAGCAACACTGCATCTGCAACAAATCCAACCATGATTGAGAAAAGAATACTTTTACATACTTTGCAATGATTGGGAAAAGCTCTAAAATGTATATGGTTTTGTATTATCTGAAGAATTTATCTAGTGGTAATTCCACTCACGCTGCAGCATTTACGCCTACGGTACATATCTCAACACAACAGCCTTTTAATAGAAAAGATGCATTTTATATGCAGCACTGACTGGT